TACACAAGTAGCTGAGAAAGGAAGACCACTGGGTTCCTTCTGAGACAAGGTGCACACCTACAGCTTTTATCCAGTCTTCCTTACCAAAAGCTATGTTGTTATGCCAAATTTTCATTTAATTGCCTCAATTATATAAGGTTATTTTTTTTTTCTGCAGGAATCAAGTTTTGCTATGAAAGAGTTATTTTGATGTTTACAAAGAAGTTCTATCTTCAGCAACGAAATGTGCACAGAAATTCAGAAAAGCAGTGTCCTAATGAGTCAGTCAAAGAAGGCATGTAGAATCCTCATGACAATACATTTCTACTAGCAGACCCATCGAAATCCATTTTTCCTTCTAGTTATTATGAAAATATCAGTTTTCTGAAGTGTCATATTCTGAAATGTGGGCCATGAGATACCTGCAGGTCAAACAACTCAATTAGAAGTATGTGATGTTTAGAGGTTTCCCTGTTGTTACAGAGGCATCTCCTCATTACTGAGATGTTCAAGGTAGGAGTTCCCCTATGAATATGTTCAAAAGCAGAGGGGCGAAATAAAAAATCCTATGTTCAGCAGGATAGTCAATGGCTTTTCATCACCACAATCTGATAGGCCACTCAAACTTGTCTGCCTCCTTAAAAGGATCCTCAGTGTTCCATGCTAGGTGTTCCATGCTAGAATTTCTTTTGGAGAGCTTGTAATGCATTATTTATCATTGTAGTTTCTTCTAAGAATTAATAATATATACTCTTCCACTTCTACTGTGATTTTTTTTTCATCTTAACTGAGTTCAGAAAACAAGTTTAAACTTTATTCTGCTATAATGGATATCTTTTTATTCTGTAAGATAACCTGGAGCATCTTTGGCATAAACACTTTTGGAAATTGCAGTCTTGATTATGCAACACAGATGCATCTACACAGTGCTAGTTATTGCTAATAGAACTTAAGCCATTTTTTCAAATCTGCACGTCTTGGCTTTTTTTGGCCAGCAGAGGTCTCAACCAAATTGAGAACTGTAAGGACTCTCTAGGTCTTGCCAAACTTGGGACCTACACGCATCCGATTTTAAAGACTATATATATATTTTTTCACATAAATATCCTTTCAGCTATGGTGGTCAAACAAATGATCAACTCCATTCCCTAACAAGCAGTAATTCTGATTCATGGCAATGTTTTCAGAAAGCAAAACCAAACAATATAAAATTACAATATTATAAATAAAATTCGTGCTCAACTTCTTTTTCCTATTAATTACTTTTGTTGATATCTGTAACTAACAGGATGGCTCTGTGTATTTCAGGAATGCTATTTCATATACCACTTACGCATCCAGGACTGGCTGACTCTTTCCCTCTTCACCAGGATTTTTAGTATCACTATTCTGATTAAACAAAAATCAGTAGTTTATTGCAATCCAATTATGTCTTCTGCAACATGTTCAGAAAAAGTGGGGGGATGTTTCACCTAACTGTCGGTCTTCATTAAGTATGTTGCAATGCAGTGGCACACCCAAACTGACATTTTAGCCTGTAAGCCATGCTAAATGTTTATTATTTCCAAAATCAACATCTACCTCAGATATTACACTCTTCTCTTTTGTTGAGATTCACTGCTATAATTTGGCTTTTGTCACATTTGATATAATAGAAGTAAAAGGTTTTCAACTCTGCTAGTGCTTTATAAAGCAGAGGTCTCTTGGGGTTTTTTTTAGATCCCTTGTAGCAATGATTGGACTAAAAAGTCATAAGTAGAGCCTGTGCATGAGAAGAGACCTCAAGGCTATCTCCTTCAAAGAGGAAAAAATATCTCACAATTTCTCTGTTTCATGAAATTTTTCTGACATACATGAGACTAGTGTATTTTCTGTAACACACTAATAGATGAAGGCATGCAATGAAATAGAAAATGGCTAAAGTCTCTAACAGCAAAGGCAGTCAAACGTGCAACTCAAAATCAGACACAGGAAAGAACCCTATCACCAAAGAGCTTGACAATGCACTGTGTTTTTCAGTTTTCAAGAGGTCATAAGATTTTCTTTTGTGCCTGTGATAGTAGCAGGGATTGCTTTAAATATTGAGCATAATAACAGTGAGAACGTCACTTCAGAGAGACTTCCTGTGATGATTTCATTCCGACCAGAAGTGGAGTTCCTCGCACGTGTTTTGATGGGCTGTTAGAAAAGACAAGGAAGAACTATTGATCATAGTTCATGTGAGGACAGCTCATACCTAAAGACTAGGGTAAGCGTGGACAGAAGTCTTGGGGGCAAAATTTATTCTTATAGGTATGCAACTGAAGATGAGGACAATCAGAGTAGCATGGTCTGAAATTGTCTTGCTATGTACAATTGAGGAGAGAAGTAGGTTTAAATGCCTTGCTGAGAGAGATTCACATTACTGGCAAATTTGCTGAAGAAAGAATGTCTGTACAAAAGCTGAAAAACTCATTTCAACCATGAAAAAACAACTTTTCAGCTAGGAAGTTTCCTGTGTGATTAGACTGAATCACCATTTTGATTCTAGCTGAAAAAAGTCCAAGAAAACTTTCAGGTGTAGAGAAGCACACAATTCAAAAAGCACACAGTTCAAATTAAGGGTGCAGTCACCATAATTCTGTATTTTTTTCTGAAGAATGTTACAAAAAGCAATAGTAGTCAAGTAGGAAATGCAGAAAGGGTAGATCAAGCAGAAAACAATCTAAATAGGGACCAATAATGAGAACAAAGCAACAACATAATGCCAGAAGTTAAAAAAAAAAAAAAAAGGGAATTGTATGGATTGCTTTAATGCTTAATGAAAAAAAGAGAACAAACACCTATCACTATAATAGGCATGTTAGAAATCTGATGAAATGAGTAAAGTCAGTGAGGCAGTCTAATACCAAAAAGCAAAATATAAATTAAAGTAAAGTAGGCCTTATCACTGGAGGAATAGTGATATGTTTTAAAGGATGTTCCAGATCAAATCAGACTCGAAGTGGAGAACAATGTCAATAATAGTTAGTTGGGAAAAGTTCCCTAGCTCACCCAAATTTTACAGCAACCATAATGAGTTTAAATTGAATATCTGTGCAGGAGCAATAGGAGCCCAAATTACATGATGGCTGTACTCAAATAAATAAGTGGAAGTAAATAAAACTGTGGAATATTGTTGTAAAGACTCTGAACAAGATATCCGAGAGAGTTAAACCACAGTTGGTACTGTGAATGCTATGTAGGGGAAGAATTCTGGAGGTGCAAGACTTACGGAAAAGCAAGTCAGTAAGAATAAACAAGACAGTTATTAAAAGCAAGAACATATCTTTCAAAACATTAAGTTGCATCTAAATAAAGACACTAGAAGAACTGTAAAATCTGCTTTAAATATGAAAGCATGGTAGGGAAGACCAATAACGAGTCTGAGTAAAACTCTGGTATATAAGCTAACATTGTCCTTTAATATATCTGGAGGCAGAAGTTCTGAGATGGAGCATGTAAGGTCAATGCAAAATCAAGTTATAGAAGTGCTCAGAGAAAATATGATCACAGAGGCAAAGTTGAAGATTTTTTTATGTGTGTGCGTGTTCAGTGTAGAATTGCTTTGGAATTTTTCTACCCTGGAACCCCTTTTTAGAGGAAATCTATGAGAGAAAGTTAAATTAGCTACAGGAGCCACCGTGGAAAGAATTGTCAAAAGAGTAACAAATCATTGGGACTAGGTTTTATTCATCCAAGAGCTTGAACAATGAAATAACTGAACTATTATGATGTGTAATGTCTTATATAAAATCACTCTGTCTTATATGAAACCACTCTAACATATGTAGAATTGGAGGTGCTAACATAAAAGTGGTTTTTTTTCCTTTATTTTCAAAGGTTTTCAGGGAGGTCTTTACTTTGTAACATAAGCACCCTCAGTCATAAACCRTTGACCAGRTCTGGGACTAGGATTGGATYCAGCCGCACCCAGACTCCTCTCAGAAGGAGCCTGGAAAGCAAGGGGGTCCAATCTGAACCTCGTGACCCAACGGGAGGGTATCCCAAGATAATCTTCTATTATCTTGTGCCTCCATGCAGTGAATAATAAGTGACCTTGCCATAGAATCTTGTGAAATCATTGTCCATATTAATAAATCCTGTTATTATTTCTTTCATACGAGTGAAGTGCATTTGTCACTCACCCCCGCCACCACTCGTTCCGTGACAAATGTCAAATATCGTTTGATACCTAAGGACTATTTATAATACCAAAAGTAGGATTAGAATGCCTACACAAGGCATATAAACAAGTATAAAGCTGTTATATATTTGCTGTAAATTCACATAGTTCACAAGTGTTATCATGCCAATTTGCCTTATTAACAATTTTTAGCAGTTTTTTTTCCAAATTTATCAAGATTTATGCTTGATCAGTGTCTGCATTTCAAACATATGCAACACACAGAACTTTGAAAGAGTGCTGTAAATGACAACTCCTGCTAATCATGCACAGACTATATGACTCTTTAAATTAGCATATTTCTGAAAAGTCTCATTTAGACTAATTGATATAAAGTGATATAAATTGTCAGTGAATGATCACAATTTAGAGACTGTATGTATTTTCAAGAACAGATTAAATCTTCTCGGCCAAGACATATAAAACATTTACACCTTCCTATAATAACAGCAATGATTAACATGAACTATTTCTGTTGTTAGTACCTGGAAGTCTCAGGTTTGAACTCCATCATTTGAAGAAGATATCTGCTTTCCCCTAACAAAATATTACTTCCTAAGCCATTTTAAAGAGTAAATGAAATGAACTTTCAGCCTTAGACTGGCCCTGCAAAATGATGATACATTGCATTTTAAAAATTCAAAACTTGCATTTGTAAATACAGCTTTTTATTCTAAAACAAACAAACTCTGCATATTGCATTTTTTTCATCACATACATTTTCTTGCAGATTCCCCCAAAAGAATGAAAGTATTTCTTGCACTAATACTTTAAGTCATGCTGATTGGAAATTTAATGCATTTAGAATACTACATACTCTTAGGAAATCTGGGTGGGTTGTCATTGACATCTGTGAGAGTAATGTTTACAGTGGTAGTACCAGCTAATCCTCCCAGTTGTCCTCCCATGTCCTTGGCTTGGATAAGAACTTGATATTGTTCTTTAACTTCTCTGTCCATATTTGGCAAAGCTGTTCTTATCACACCTAGGAGAAAAAAATGGGAAAGAGAAATAAATAAAAATAAACAAGGGCTATGATACCCACCTATGATATTCTAATATGTATCTTTTGGGCAGACTTCCTACAGGAATGATCAGAAAGCAGCTCACACAGAAACACGACTCAGTCACCTGGATCTTTCACAACTGCTCCATACTTAGTTACTATTCAGCATTCCAGAATGACTGCTATGTGATTAGATCAGGACATGAATCACTTTCATTGAGCATGAAAACAGTGCATTTTCACTGGAGATGTGCAAGGCAAGGTTATCAGTTTGCCACATCTGGAGCAAGGGAAGCTATGTTGTGCAGACTCAGACAATGGAAGATGAGAGGCTGGGTCAGCATCAATATTTCAAAGAGTTATCTTTATCAGTTTCAGATGAATCAATTTCCATCAGAGTTAAATTACTCTCACTCTGTACTAACAGAGCTCTTTATTAGAAGGTTCTTCTTTATTTCATGAAGTTGGCTTGACATAGCCTCTACATGCAGTGAAAAAGTTTAGGTATTTTCCTACAGTAATGTAATCAACGAGGCATTCCCTGAATGGTTCTTATTCTTTGATGACTTCAGTCTAAACAGGTATGCCATAATCGCCCTCCTGACATGGTATAAAAATATATGATAAAAGCAAGATTTGTAGAGGAAGGGAAGTAGTGCTGCTCATTTGAATAGCTGATGAAGTTGTAAAACTACCTGGGCTTGGCCACAACCTTGTATGCATAAGCCCTTCTTTTAAAATCAAACATATAAAAAAGGATATGCTAATTTGTCAAAAATTTACAAAAATTTACTGTATTGCAAAGTGCTGCAAATCCAGCAATAGTTTTCAGAAAAAAAAAGGCTTTTTGCAAACAGGCTAATATAGGTAGCACATATAATTATGAAATAAATCAGTTGGAAAGATATTCTTCTCCTTCAGGTCATTATTATTTAAAGAACACATTATTTTTCAGTATTAACCTGTTTGGTTTTAAAAGTAATCTTTTCCCCCTGGCATTATAATGAAGCTGGAATGATAATAAACAAGCTTTAGGGCTCATTCTGATTTTTCTGGCAACTAACAGCTGGTCTGTTAACAAGAACAGGAACCATTAGCTTACAGTACTTGTTCAGAGTCTAGAAATAACTTTGACCTAAATTTTCCATTTATGGAACTTATCAAAAATTCCTATTAAATTGAAGTGTATAACAGTAAGGCTTTTCCATTCTCTCCACTTGTAACACTGAATCTGATAATACCAATTAATAATAACTACTATTTTCCATCTCAGCATGGAATTTACTGTACTACATAGATCTGGAATAGGAATAGCAAATACTTGAAATAATTAAGAACGTTTACATACTGCAACAGTAGGCTTTGAATTTTTGAAAACAGTTCAATGCTTTGTTTGATCTAGATAGAAGTATTGAATTTTAAAACACCATAGCTGCAAAAATCTAGGAGCATGCAAATTTTTAAATTTGGAGGTAAGCTACCTAAAAAGTTAGCAGTATCATGGCAGCAGGCATCACGTCAACAACTAATATTATTAAGAATTTAAGTAGAACGTAGTATTTGTGAAAAAAAAAAAAAAACTTTTTGCAAATAGGTTGAATATAACTGAATATAACTAACTAGCCATGCTTTTACATTGTGATTAGTGTACATTCGGCAATATTTTACAACATTCTTGGTATACTTATTCTTAAATCAAACAGCTATGCAAAACATCATAATAATAGAAGATGCAAAAAACCACAAAGACCTGGGCTGATAGCATATTATGAGCAGGAGATGCAATTCATTTGATTTTTTGTAACAGTTTTAGGTACTATTGAGTGGTTTTCTCAGTTAGAAATATTCCTAATGTTCCACAGAAAATGAAGAACTAGTTATCAGTCTAGTAGTGAAGTGCTCAATCATCCACTGTTTTTCCCATCTGGAAGTTTAAAGGTATTCCATATTTTTTTCTGTAAGAAATCTCAGTCCCCAGTAAAAAAAAGAAAAAAAATCAATGAGAATATTTTTTCTGTCTAACAGTTCATAGGCAATTTTCCCTTCACTATCTGCTCTATTTCAAAAGCATAGATGAAAACTACTATTACTACCAAAACCATCAGCTCATATGTATGGGACAAAGATGACTTAAAGATATCTAACCACAGTAAAGGATAAAAATAAATGGTAATAAAAATCTCTGGGAAAGAAATGACTGCAAACTTTGGTAATTCAACTCCTGCTTCACAAACTATATCTGAACTTTGAACTTGAAGATTTACTCAAATGTATAAGTCTCATGTGCATGTAACACTGTTACTAAACTCCCTTAAGATTTTACATTAAAAAAATGACCCAGAACTGAAAAAGTTTGACTTTTTTTTTTCTTTGCAAAATAGCATTGACATCTAATGTGATGGGAAATGGGATCTCAATGATACTGGTAACTGGTAAGTGTCCTGGTAAACTGGTAAGTGTGTGACCAAGGCCTAAAGACACGCTTTGCAAAGTTCATAATGAATGAATTATGAAGTAAGAGATCATAATGAATTTAACAGGAGATGATCCACTAACAATGGAAGAGAAAATCCAGGTTCTGTGAACAACCTCATGAATAAACTTTAATGTTAATAAGACTGCAACTGAGGTTAGAATTTGGACAACAATGATTTAGTTATAGAGAAATTGGAGACATCTAGCCTTAAAGAGAATACTGACCTCACAAGCACAGCATGTCATTTTGCTACAGAAAGGCCTTCTTCTCTCCTCTTGCCAAAAACACTGGAGGCAAGTGTATGGTAAAAACAATATTGCATACCTCAGAGACTTTGCAATATAAAAACTACTGTATCATCTTGACAGTTATAAAACAGGGAAACAGAAATGCTTGAAGATTCACAGTGTTGCTCAAGCCTTCTGCATTTTACAGTAACATTTAAACAGCATGATTATCCAGAATCTGTCACGTTATAGGCACAGCTAACTGATCTTGTGATCTTTCTAATGCAGGACAGGTTACAACATATCATTGCTGCTCATAGTTGCATTAAAATCCATATATATTTTTTTCTGGTGTAGGATTTTAAGCTTGTGCTAGGCTAGCTATGTTTTCATAATTCTTTCATAACTCTTCCTTTAGAGCTGTGTCCCCTATTTGGCTGCCAAGACCCACCTGAGTAATTCATTTAATGTATTAATTAAAAGATGTGGAAACCCTGGGTTTGTACAATGTTCCAGAGCTAGCAGGTTGCAAAGCTGTCTCCTAAGGTTCACTCACTATTCAGGACCAAGTAATAAATGAGAACATGTGATTTTATGGGATAACAGCAATTCAAAATGCAACAGGGAAAATGGTTCCTCATTGGATATTAGCACTTAATTTTTTCTTGTGTAACTGATATTAGAATATGTCATGTCTTCAGGAAAGGTTTTTCTTGCCATTGAGTTCCTTTTCACTCCTTGCAAGATCGAAATTTAGAACAAAGAAACAAACAAAAAATATACAGGTAAAGACCTTTTCTTCCTCCCAGACACTCTAAGAAGTCACAATACAGTTTTAAAAGTAAAGTTGCTGGCTGCAAATTTCAATATGATCACATGCTAAATGGAGCATGTGACAGAGCAATGTGCCCTTTGATGCACAGACAACCTCATGTGGCTCTCACCTCCAAATTATTCATCGATCAGAGAGAAAGGCACACAATCCAGTCTAGCTTCACAGCGAGTAATATGTTGCAAAGATCATATGGGCAGCTATCCCTATAACATATTCAGGATGATGCAATACATGGCATTCACATGTAGGTTCTTGGTTCCTTAACTGAATTATTAAATATAGAAACAAGAATTACATTTAAAAATATATGACAAGATAGCTAATTAACTGGCCTCCTAAACCCTCAGGTATTCCAGTCTCTTTAAAAATATTTTTCTTCTCTGCTTACACATCCAGCAACTCCTGACAAACCTACTATGACCAAGGAAAAGAGAAGGACAGGAGATGATTATCTGTTCCGTATTCCCAGATTAGTTCTATATACCAAAACAGTAATTGTCAGAGAATTACTGACTCTAAGCTCAGCAAGTAAAAGTATTGAGAGAAAAGAATGAAGACCTGATATACAGAATGAAATCACCCGTGAAAGAAATAGAGTACATGCAACACTTAAAGTTTTAGCTGTAAAGAAATGGTAGAACACAAGGAAAAACTACAGTGTACCCAGATATTCCTAGATTGACTGGAGGAAAGTAGACATTTTTCTTTTTATAATAAAACGCGATTCATTCAAAAACTTTTGGTCAGTAACCAAACCAGCATTAGGTACTAAGTCACCTTATTGGCTTAGGTACAATGCTGGTACAAAGTTAGCCCATTAGCACACTTCATATTTATTCATAAATATTGCCGATATGTCTATCAAAATACAAACTGTTTACCTGTTTTCGGATCAATGGAGAAATATGGTTGCCCCTGAAGAATGCTGTAAACCACTCTAGCACTGTTTCCATAGGTGGGATCATCAGCATCTGTAGCCTTTACCTGAAGCACATATGCACCTGCAAAGAAATATAGGTAATCAAAATTTCAATATAAAGCAATGATTAGGAATAATTCATTTTAGTCCTGTTGATGATGGCCTGTGAAAGCTCTATACTAGATTTTGAAAAGCATATCTGAGCTTTGTGCCTTTCAGTCTTGTGTAAAGACAGGTGTGCCCTCAGATATGCCCACAGACAGCTGTAAACGTTAAATATGTATGCAATTTTAAAATGTAAAATTGTTAAATATGTAGGTATTTTGAAAACAAGAGTTTGGTTGAGCAACTTTGGAATCCACCAGTGAATAAATCTCTAAGTACCTTTAAAAAAAAACCTGCTGAAGTCTCCTGTAGGCAAGATTCTCTGCTATTAAATGAATATTCACACTGTAGAATGGAACCCGGTATTTTATTCAGTAAGTTGTGCTTAAAATCCAGACTTGAGTCTTGTTCCCTTTCCACTACAGCTTGGTAGGAAACAAAAGTACTGTGTAAGTACCTCTGCTTGATGCTGGATTTTCAGGCATGGTTATATGCAATAATATGTGAAATAGTTTGTTTTATACTCCTACATACAGGACACTTACAGGAGAGACATGGAGCAAACAAAGCACACACAAAGTCATAAAATTAACTGTAAATAGCAATCATCCTACAAAAATTTCCTGTCCTTCCCACCTCTTGCAAAGTAGTTTACCTGCGTTTCTCCACTGCCCCATAATGAAAGTAGTATTTGAACCATTTGCACAGTCTCCAGCAAAACAACAGGTCAGATATCTAAGTTTTCCCTTCATCTTTGACATGAATGCTTGAATTTGCCACACTGATTTTGAGTAAGTGAGTGAGTGAGTGAGTGAGTAGAGAGACAGCCAACATCACAGACAGAACAAAAAGTTTTAACATACGCTTTACATTTGGAGATTATCTGATACTCTTTCAGGAATTTCCATGAAACACTGCAAGGAACTTATGTGTAATGGAAACTGGAAAGATACAGAAAAGGTTCACAGATCAAGATTAGCTGTGGTTTACTTCCCTAAAATTTATTTCTACGGGTGCCTCATTGAAAATTCCTCCATATAAAAGATGCTACAACTTAGAAAGGTAACTCATAGCAAAGGTAACTGTTAGAAGAAATTCTCTTTCAGTTTCTTGCCACACATCACATCATAAGATATCTTTAGTGGTGACACAAGTTTTGGAATTGGCACTCTAAAAGAACTTGTGGCATGGTGGCTGATTTTGCAAATCTGTTCCTATGACAGTCTATTGGACAACAGAGAAAGAAAAGCGTCTGAGCATTATTCTTGTTATATCCTGAAGAAGACACAGAATTATGTGTTAATTGTCCATGTTTTTAAAGTCAAGTATGGATCTAAGTAAAAGCATGTCCCCAATCTCAGCCCTGTCCTCTGCTTCAAAACCTCAGGGAGCCTTAACAAAAATAAGTTGTCTTCTAGTGACCAAGATGGAGAGGGAAATGGTAACTCTTCATTTCATTCTCATTTTTCATCAAAAATTTTAAGGGCTGCCCATGGATCCTTACTGTTGTGGAGGGAAAAGCAAAAGATCCCTTTCTGAACACTAACAATGAATCATGCAGGGTTCACTCATGCAGAGTACAACATCCCTCCCCCATACTCAAACAATTGTCTGCCTTTACTGCTACAATTATCTACTAACTTTTCAACATAAAACATGCAGTAATTCATGGACTTTGGGATTTATATTCTTTATAAATTATCCTTCACTATGCTTTGTACAGCTTCACACAGCGAGTTGAAAACAATACAGAATATCAATCGATATTTCAGTTTTTTTTTTTATTTTAAAGCACTATTCTTAAACCTGGTTTAAGATTTAAAATCAATATTTCAATATCTTTAGCCCTTTCACAACACTGCACCTGTACTTACCACTATCGGAGCTTTAATTTTAATCCTTAAAACTCAGTTCTGGGAAGAATAATTACAGTAGTCTTTGAAGAGTACTGACTAGTCTGCTATGCTAGGTCACATTCAGAAGAGAGACTTAGCTCTCTTGGTAAAGTTTGTGCAAAAAATGCTGTAATCTCTTCTTACAAAAATCTCTTTTTTTTTTTTTTTCTTATTGTGAGCTGATTTATTTGTTCATTTACTTGTAGAATTTTAGATAAACACTGAGTCATTTATTTACTATTTTTTTAAATCAACACTAATGGTAAATCTGAGTTTGACTTCTTATAGTTGAATGGCATTTCATTGCTGTTATTATGAAAAACAAAAGTGTCTGTGTTTAATAGAAAAAGATATATTTTCTCTCATTATGCCAGCTTTTCTAGGAACATGAGTAGTGTTTTTAAGTCCTCTTCAGATCTGTCACCCAAGCCACAACAAAAAGTCTTTCAAGTCATAGATGATGAAAAGGATACATCAGCATGAAACTACCCACTGGCATAAAGAGAATTCATAAATATATTTCTCTCAGGTGAAAGAAAACAGAAAAAAAAAGCAACTGATTTAAGACTATATGTGTATGTATATCAGTAGCACTTCAAAATAAGAAAAGTTATTACAATAAATAGTAAGTTAACAAAAATCAAGAATCACTGACTCAGTAAACTCAACTGTTCCTTTCAAATTCCAACAAATTTACATAAGAAATAGCAGTACTAAGTTAAGACAGCCAAATAACCTCAATTTTCTTGTTGTGTTTCAATCATTAATGTATATTTTAGATGTTAATATTTGAAATGGTAAATGTGTTCACAGGGGGATTTTTAATTGGAAAAATGATATTTTTTCATAATTTTAATCCACACAATATCTCAGCAGACTGAAATAACAGATACTAACAGTGCGCATGCTAATCTATTTTTACTTATTCAAAGCAAAACCACAGAGATTGTAGGGGCCAACAGGATTTTGGAATTTATCTTCTATTCTTTGGTTTGTCTCCTAAGCCCTAGCATCTTATAACCAATACATGTTCTTTTCACAAAACAGCAGCTGCTTTAGTGGTGCAATCAAGCAACCAGTGCTTCACAATCAAAATTATTTTTCAGAAAAATAATGCAGAGTGGGAGCCAAAATGAGTGCTTGAATGGAGATACCAATAATGGGGGTCATTTCATCAATCATTGGACTTCCCCAGTCCATCTACAGTCAGGTTGGACACTTAAGCTTTGCTGTGCAGATGGTGGATGGAGACAGGAAGCCTAATAGCATTATTCTAGGCCAGGGATGCAAAAGTGGACATATTCAATACCACAGACAAAAACATCTTTATTTCTAATATCTCACACAATAATATGTCTTTCCAAGGTGAAGAAATAGAGTGCATACATCAATATGCCTGAATATTCAGCAGATGGTGTAACTGTCTAAACATTCTTGCAAAAAAATGATTCTTAATTTGCAAAAAATATGTATTTTTATACATGGGCTCCAGGTGATTTAACCTTCTTATTCAAAATGAAGTATTGGTGATTTATGTTTTATTCTAGTGAACATTCCAAGTCATATTTTTGTCTGTTAAGCAGTGAGTACTAAATATGAAAAACTAATATGTTTCACAGTGACAGCAATTTCAGTTGTATTAGTTCATCTGCCAGATCTTCTGCAAGAAACAGATAATATGTAAGGTCAGTATTTGTATGAGAAATATGGTATTTTTATTTTTTTTATTTAGCTTATGTAGTTATTCAGCAGCTTATATTTAATTTTCTGAACAGCTTTACAGAAATTTGCTTCTCATCCCTTCAGTATTATTAAGGAAAGTCCATTCTATCTATTAGACTTTCTATTTTATCGAAAAGCACAAACCCAAGATATTTTTAAAAATAGATCCTGCTCCTAATTGTTTTTTCCAGACAATAATACATGTGATAATAGTTACAAATCTTTAACACAAAAGGTATTGAGAGAAGATCACATTTCTTACAGCCTGTGACATTTTTATTAAAAAATATATCTATATTATTGCATGAAATAATCAAATGACCAAAACAAACATAATATTTTTGGTGTTCAGATATACCTTCAATGATAATCAACATTTTAGAAGACTTACTTTTTTTTTTTATATTTGATATGCAATCAGTAAATATTTCAGAGTCTATAAAGCAGAGAAGAATAGAATGATATGCTTAAGCAATTATTTATGTTCTAGAAAGAAAAAAAGAATAATGAAATATTATCAACCATTCATATGGCTAAAGCAAATGGCTTGAAGCCTTAAAGAAGACAATATTTTCATTTAAATAATACAGATGACATTTAAGAAATATGTTGCAGATAGTGGTTGTAATTACAGAAATAATACTGTCTTGGATTTCAATCTAGTTGACATCTAAATGTGTTCCATAAATAATTTTGAATAGACTATAGAGAGTAACATTTTGTCCTTCTCAGCATGTAAATTTTTGGCATCACCAAAATTCAATGGGATATTTTGCCAGCTCCTATGACAGCAAAGATGCACAAAAGTAAAGATGACAATACAACATATAGTTTATACAAGTTTGCTATATTTCTATTCTTAAGCTTTAAAAAAGCTCAGAGCTTTTCCCTGATTCTTTGAATCAGTGATCAATTGCACAAGTTCAGAGTTCTCATTTTCTTAAAATAATTCACATTTTGGGATTCTTCATCTCTTAATACTCCATTTTTTAGGATTGCTTATTTTTTTATGTTTAGTTATTGAACGGAATAGCATGACCCAGAATTCACAACACTCAACTGAGACTAGATAAATTGGTCATTTCACTGAAGTTAAAAATGAGTGGCTACAAGGTTAGGAGAATATGACAACAGACTATTATCTAGATACATGATCCCTCCAAAAATAACATATTGGCAATAGAATTGCAAAGATAAAGAAAAAAAGAAGGGGGCTATATGTCACATCTTTTCTCATTAAAACCAACTTCCAATAGGCCTACCAATCCCATAAAGTTACTAACAAACAGCAATTCAGTTATTCGGTGGTGGTGCTTTAGTTTCCACAGAGAGTGAGAGGGACATAC